AGCTTCTACAGTGTTGTGACATGCGAGCGGTCAGCCAGGTCTTGTGACCCAGTCTCCGCGCATGAGAGCCCTCCAGCACCCCACTAACTGCCGCCGACGTGCCAACATAAAAACCGGCTTGAAAAACAGCAGCCATGTTGGACCGCATCCCTGACCTCCGCGGTCCCCGTCTGAGCCCCCACAGCACACACGTCGATGGGTGGTGGGGAGTCGCCGGTGGCCATTTACCCAAGAGCGATGCGGTTCCGGAGATCATATCTCCGTGATCAGCGCCTGGGGCGGGACGGCGCCCGCCGCGAGCACGGCCCCTCGCCAGAACGAGACGGCGCCCGCCGCGAGCACGGCCCCTCGCCAGAACGAGACAGCGCCCACCGCGAGCACGGCCCCTCGCCAGAACAAGACAGCGCCCACCGCGAGCACGGCCCCTCGCCAGAACGAGACAGCGCCCACCGCGAGCACGGCCCCTCGCCAGAACGAGACAGCGCCCACCGCGAGCACGGCCCCTCGCCAGAACAAGACAGTGCCCACCGCGAGCACGGCCCCTCGCCAGAACAAGACAGCGCCCGCCGCGAGCACGGCCCCTCGCCAGAACGAGACAGCGCCCGCCGTGAGCACGGCCCCTCGCCAGAACGAGACGGCGCCCGCCGTGAGCACGGCCCTCGCCAGAACGAGACAGCGCCCGCCGCGAGCACAGCCCTCGCCAGAACGAGACATTGCCCGCCGCGAGCACGGCCCTCGCCGCGCTTGGCTCGCGCCGCACTGTTTGCTGTTTCTGTTGGATAAGTTGGGCCTGTAATAGGCTTGTCCGACAAGCGAGAGCCGCGGCAGCTGGCCCTTACGTGAGGGGTGGGTGAGGGCGGTCAGGTCCCGTGAAGTTCGACCGGCGAGGCCGGCGCGACCACATGGTGACGCTGGTACTACACTCCGCCAGACGAGCTCCTACGAACTCACGCCATCAGCCCTTTCTCCACCCCCACCGTGTCAGCGTTTGCTCCGGTCCGGCCCCCATGCCTTCAGCTCACACAGTCGCGTGTCTCGCGCTGACGGCTCTGAACGACCACGTGTGCCGAGAGCACGGCACGCTGGCGTGGCGTCCATCAGCCATTGGCTGGCTGAGAGCGGTCTGGTGCCTTGCAGACGACACCGCTTGCCTGACCGCTCGGATGCGACTGGTCCCCGCTCACTTCATACTTCAAGTGGTCGTCGTTTTCCAACGATGGCTAGTGGTTGCAGTGGGCACACATAAGCGAACCGTGGCTGCCGGCGTATTGTCCAGCAGACGGACCATCCGGCAGGTACTTCAGGCTCTGGCCGCCCAGGCAACTCGTTCGGGCTCAGAGCTGTTGGGACGCTTCTAACGCTCGCGGGCTGCCCGGCAAATTACCTGCGTCGCATGCCGGACAGACGGATTGAACGAAGGCGAGCGTACTCCCAATCTGGATGCAAACGTGTTATTTGGTACTCATGGATGCACTTCATGCATAGTGTACTGCTTTAGGGCAAATTTAAATAACAGGAGTTTATAAATGAAGG